TGGGTTAAATATCCCATGTCCCAGGCCATCTCCGGAAAAGCCAATTCATACTCACTTCTGTATCCCCCTCCTTCTATCCTAACAATTCCGAGGGGGTCAAGAATTTCACAGCAGACGGGACTCCTCCTGGAGGAGGGCAGAATATGAGCATACAAGGACCAGTTTCCTGTCCTAAAAACCCCCTGGTGATCGCTTGGTAATAACTTTCCCCGAGACAACGTGGACACACCTCCTAAATGACCTTCACAAATTTCTTTTCTAAACCCTAGCACGCTCGCTGACCTGTGTACCAAGCAATCACCACCTGCCTATTCCAGGCTCCTGTGGGTCCCCGCTCCTTCTAGTCCCTCCCAGGGGGGTGATCGGGCCCCCTCTTCCACCCTGCTGGGTGGGCTCCTCGTCACCTGAGCCTTCAGGTCCCCTGCTGCCGTCCACTACATGCTGACATGAAAGGTCCGAGCGTTGAGAAGCAGAATCCTTCCAGAGGTGTGAGGCGCCTTTCCCCTCTAGGAGATTCATGCTACAAAGCCTTGGGGTGGCCTCAAATGAGACCTGTCTCCTCAAAGTGAGGAGTTTCCTGGCCCATGCACCATATGTTATAGCCACGCATTCCGGGAAACAAACTCACTCAGAAGGACAATGCAGATAGTGGAGCGCAGTTTATTACACGGGCGGGCCCAAGGCAGAGTTTCCTCTTAGCCAAGGACCCCGACCAGCATTTGTGAAAATCTTTTATACCCCATGTGTACGTGTCCAAACCCACCACCCCAATCCCTTGATGCTTACAAAGGAAGGGTAAATACAATCACAATAACCTCATCATTCACGTGTTATGTGTTCAGACAGTTAATAATCAATAAGCCCGCAGTTATATTCCAACCAGTTAATAACCAATAAGCCTGTGCTTACATTCTGATAGATACTGTCTGGAGGCAGGGGTGATTAGTGTCTGTTTTCTCTTAGGTGATGAGTAACCTGGATATGATCTTCAAGGTTCCTCTGTCCGGGGGGGGGGGAGAGGGCGTCTTATCCTTCCATTGTGGTTCCCACAGGCACTAAGCAGAGAGTTCAGAGTCCACTGGAGAGGTGGCCGAGCACGATCAGCACGAACAGGCCTGAGATGGAGTTCAGGCCCTATGAATTCCTTCTTCAAATTGATGCTTTTGAACTGTGGTGTTGGAGAAGACTCTTGAGAGTCCCTTGGACTTCAAGGAGATCCAACCAGTCCATCCTAAAGGACATCAGTCCTGGGTGTTCATTGGAAGGACTGATGTTGAAGCTGAAACTCCAATACGCTGGCCACCTGAGGTGAAGAGCTGACTCATTGGAAAAGACCCTTATGCTGGGAAAGATTGAGGGCAGGAGGAGAAGGGGACGACAGAGGATGAGATGGTTGGATGGCATGACCGACTCAATGGACGTGGATTTTGGTGAACTCCCGGAGTTGTTGATGGACTGGGAGGCCTCGCGTGTTGCGGCTTATGGGGTGGCAAAGAGTCGGACATGACTGAGTGACTGAACTGAACTGAACTGAATATATTAGTGGTTTCCTCTTCTTTCTTGCATTTCAGTGTAAATTTGGCAATAGATAGTTTGTGGGCAGATACCAGGTCTTGGAGAGCCACACCCATCCTAGAAGGAGCCCCTCCCCAATCAATCAGACTGACATTCTTTGTTTCTAGAAGTTCCCGCCCTAAATGCTCCCTTCCTGAGGTCACAGGGGTGCTGAGTGTGAGGCTGCAGCTCTTGGCTCTTGGGCCTGGGTCTCCCTCTTACATTGTTTCAAAAACACTCACAGGCTGGGCCAGGGAACCTGGTAGTTCTGTCTGGTATGTCTTGGGAATTGTACTGTGGCCTGCACTCTGTAAGGCAGAAAGAAAGGAGAAGAACTAGCAGGGGTGGTCTGCATAGAGAATGCAGTAAAGGTAAGCACCAAACAAAGGATGTGATTAGCATATCAGGTTAGTCTAGATTACCCGCTGCAGACCGGGAAGGAGAAAGTAAAAAAGGAGCTCTGAAAACGGCAAAGGGAAAGAAGAAAACTATTTTTTTTCTCGATCATTGCAGCAGCTGCAGATTCAAGAGTTCTGTGGATGCCTTTAAAGTTATTTACTTAACACCCAGATGTGAGTTTGTGATAAAAATCCCCATAGGAGACACAGAGCAGGAGGAAGAAGAGGAGGAAATGGCAGCTTCTCAGGTAAATGTCCTGTCCCGGGTCTGGGGCTGTGTCTGCTTTTCCTCCTGAAATGTCTGGTCTGAACATCTGCAAACCTTCAATTCTCTGCTTCTAATTTTTCTACCTAGGGTGTTTGTTGCCAACTGCTTATTTTTTTTCAGTTTCTCTTGTATTAGAGAAGACTGGCTCTTTAGACTGTTTCTTCCTTATGTCCCAGAGCCTGTTATCCAATGTACGTATCCTGGCTTTCTATAGAGCATGATGAATTCTCAACACTGTTGCATCAGTTTCAATGTTGAGCATATTCCCTTTGTGAAAGGCAGACGGGGAGGTGCTGGTATAAGGGATTCCCAGTGGAATGTTGTTCTGTGTTGATCCCAAGGAAGTAGGGGAAATGCCATGATGAGTTTATATCTGGATGCAACTTCAGGTCTTTAGAACAGGAGCAAAAGGCAATGCCTTTGGAAACAGAATGGACTCAGTGGTCCAGATTTTTTTTCAGAATACTTTCAAAAATAAAAAAAATGTAGTTGAGACTATCCTGTTCCTCTGTGTCACTAAGAAAGACTTACTATTAAATGTGGTATTAGAAAAAATAAAATAATTTAAAAAATAAATGTGGTATTAGGCTACATGTCATGGGAGGTATATATGAAGTGAAATTTGCTTCAAACTAATATTTTTTAATGATAGATTCAGATCATGGTTTCCATAATATTGCCAAAATACCCATGCAGTGGTAATGTATTCTTCTATGTACTTCTAACCCCATGTCTCTGATGGTCACTGGTTTAGGTACTTCTGTGAGATTCCCATGCTACGCAGCTCATGTATTTTCCTTTGTCTTTAACAAGTGTCTTGGGGGAAAAAAGTGAGGGATGTGCCTAAACTATCATAGTTAATGGGGGAATCCCATATGCTCTTAAGTTTCTCTTTGCTTTGGAAGATGACTGTGTTTAGTAGCGATGCTGGGTTTGGGGGATTTTTGTCACTCAAGCCCAGGTCTGATCATTTCCAGGTACACTCCATGCTCACATCACAGAGTCACATCACATTTTTGTATTTTCCAAGATGGCTATAAGAATCTTATTAGTGCTAATCTATGTTCAACTGTATTAAAAGTTGAACTATAGCTCTTTGAAAATGATATAGATTTTCAGGAAATTGAAAAATTCAGAACCAGAGCTTTACTTTATGTTACATCATTCTGTATGTCTGTATTCTAGTTTATTTAAAGAAATAAAAATAATATCATGCCCATATATTTATGTACATTTTAATAAGTTTAAAAAAATTTCATTCTATTGACATGAGGACTTTTCCCTATTAACTATTAATAAGTATATAGTCCCATTTTAGTATATGTCTCTGTCCACAAAACTGTTACCATGATTTGATCTCTTTTTTCTATTTTTTTGAAGATTTTTGGAAGAAGGGAATAGCTACCCACTCTAGTATTCTTGCCTGGAGAATCCTATGGACAGAGGAGCTATTATTTCTGTTGTACATTCAAGATTCTGTAAAAACTGTCAGAAAGATATACAGTATATACTAAATAGTTAAAATGATTCTTGCTACAAGGTTACTATCCTATAAGACCTGTAAAATCTGTAAACGACTTAAAGTTCAACTTAAGTATGAATTCTTCCCTACTGTTCTCCTTCATTGCTGTTCAGAATGGTCATTTGTGGAGCAGAATTTGCAACATCACGAGTTCAAATAAGCTTGGTAAAAATGTGGCACATTTTCTCCACTCCAGAACTCTTGGATCAGAATCTGCTTGTTAAAAATGTTTCCTGTTTTTTGATAGACAATTTCTCCTGGGTCACACGAGTACAACACTCAAAAATAAATATGCCAGTGTTGATCTGATTACATTATAATTTGTCTTCCACATCAGAATAGTTTCTTGTGAATCACATCCTCTTTCCTTGGGGTTAAAAATGTGGTAGAAAATGTTACTGTGTGATACAAAAAACTACACTAAATCAAAATGAGTTCTCTGAAATTACTTCTTTCATTTAGGGTCAGGTTAGGAAGCCTTCGCTTGGCCATATGACAGTCAGTCAGTCAGTCAGTCAGTCAATTCAATCATTCAGTCATCAGTCCTGTCTGACTCTTTGCCATCTCAGTTGTGTCTCACTCTTTGTGACCCCAAAGTACATAGCATCTATACTTTGTATTTCAGGGACGGTTGATGTTCCAGGATGTGGCCATAGACTTCACTCAAGAGGAGTGGGAATGCCTGGACCTTGGTCAGCGGGACTTGTACAGGGTTGTGATGTTAGAGAATTACGGGAACCTGGCCTCCTTGGGTGAGGACAACTGCCTTCCAGAATCCCTTTTCCACCACTGGGTTTGGTTCCTGCATTTCTAGAATGTCTCCTGGAATTTTCTGCTTCCATCAACACCTTCAGATCCCTGCTTTCTAGCAGGAAATGGGTATTTGTGAGTCTAGAAAGAAAGCCTTCAGTGGTGATTCAGTACAATTCTAACCTTTTTCTTCTGTGATGTAATCTGCCTCCTTCACTCTAGTGTGGTAGTGATTGAATCAGTTCCATGGTATTAAATAGTGACACCTTCCTCTTAAAATCACATTTACACTACTTACTTTCACCTTGTAGTACTTGACCAGAATCTCAGGATCTGAGTTTTATGTATTTGTTAGTATTGTAAGGGTGCTTTCAATAAAGTATTTGGGGAAATCATCCTCTAGGCTGTATTAACATTCACCTGTGTGTTCTCTTCTCGCGCAAATACATATTGGGTTGGAAACTTATGAATCTCTAGCAAAACAGATATTCCTTTCTCTGATGAACAGGTCTTGTGGTCTCTAAGCCGGACCTGGTCACCTTTCTGGAGCAAATGAAGAATCCCTGGGATGTAAGGAGAATGGACACAACAGCCACATACCCAAGTAGGTGTGAATGGATGGAGCTGATGACTCAAGTGAGAGGTCCAAGGAGCAGTGAGGAAGTCAGCCTTTGTCCTGTGGCTTGGGAAGACATGCTCCAGTGGAAATGATTTTGGAGAACTCTGGGTTCATTTCTGTTGCTGTCATAGACGGACATTGCCTGGCTCATTCTGCCTCTCAATCATTCATGAATTCAGCTCCATGATTACTTTTCTCATCCACAGTGACAATTCAAATTCTTTTTTTGGCTTGTGACAACTTGCATGAGTTGGCTGCTTTTTCATTTCTTGGGGGTCCTAGGAAAACTGCCCATTGACGAGTAAATATAAGATGCTCTTTTTAAAGTTTGTTTCTACCTCTAGAAAGAAGTGTATGAGTGGAATTGTAAACAAATTACCAATACTCTAGGAATATTGGAGACAGAATTTTTTTTCTGATTTATATTTTCTAAAACACTGGAAGCTACAAATATGACCTTATAAATTTTAAACTCCTTTCAGTGTATAAAGCAAAACTTCCATAAAATGAGACAATGCAAATCTCCGATATACACCAATGTTTCACATTTCTTTATGTGAACTCATTTAAAATATCTGAAGTGTATTTGCCACAATTCCTCAATGGTAAAATACTTTAATATATTCAGTTAACTCAAAGATTTCTTAAATAAATTGGCAAAATAGTTTAGAACATTTTCCACCATATTTCTAATGGTTGTTTCAAATTACTAACATTTTAGATCATATAAAGTCCTTTTAAATCCTTTAAATCCTTATTGGATTTAAATCCTTGTTGTTTTAAAATGTTGTGCTTTTGTACAGCAAAGAGAATGAAGTATACGTATAAATAGCCACTCTTTGTTAGATTTGCTTCCGTTTGGGTCTCCACAGGGAACTGACTAGAGTTCTCTTTGATACCAACGTATTTTTTAAAATCTCACTTTTATTTAATTGCTTAAGACTTTATTATCTCATTGGTTATCAGTTTCCAATGGCCCTCAGTTTCTAATTAGTTGTATGTCAATATCATTTATGATTTTTAGATACAAACATCTAATAGAATGTGTTCCAATAGAACACAAGTGGTAAGAAGTGGATTAAAGAATTGGAAGCCATCTAGTATTTCTGAAAATATTTGGTGTCTCCATTTAAAACGACTTAGGGCAAAAGGTAATCATTAGACTGCGTGTCTCCGCTTCATTTAGTGGTTCTTGTAGCTTATTATTTTCCCCTTCCTCTGCTCCATACTCGTTGTCCTCTGGTTTCATTACATTTTCTGTGTTTGTGGTCTCTGCTCTGAAGGCTGCAGGATCCCAGCTCCTCTTGTCTCTTGTGCCTGCCCCTTGGGGGCTCAGGTTGGTCCTGAGGTTTCTGCCCTGATCCCCTGGATGGGCACTTGATTGCTGTGACCCGAGCCTGCCCTGGGTATTGAGGGGAGCTTCCCCATCGCTCTGTGGCTGTCACCGCCCTGTCTGTGTTGGGTCTGCGCCCTGGTTGGTGGAACAGAGCCCCCAGATCTGTTTCTTCGCTGTGATCCTGATCTGTGTGGAGACAGGTGGGATTGGAGCACACCCCCGGGAGAGAAGCCCCTGAGGACTGCTGCTCTGGGGATGTTCCCCTTGGGATGTGCTCTGTGCGTCTCTTTCACCCATTGGGTGAGTCTCATGTGACCCTGGTTGGCACTGGTCTTGGCCCCACTTCAACCATGGGTATGCCGGCACACGGCCCTGCAGTCTCTCTGATGTTGTTTTCCCTGGGTCACCAGCATAGATCCCCTGAACTCAGGGCCTCGGTCCAGGTGCTGTGGAGCTGTGGGGGGAGCTCAGACTCCAGCCTGGCCCCGTCCCCTCGTTACGAGCCCACAAAGTCTCCAGTTGCTAAGCCACACCTGCTGTGACTGGCGCGGCCCCTTGTCCTTCAGATGCTCTGCAGGGGCTGAGCTGACAAAGCCGGTTGCCTGTGTAAAAGCATGGTTAGTGCAGCTGAGAGCAGAGACCTCAGCTTTGCTTCCTCAACCCTGGGGCTCAGCTGTGCTTTCAGCTCCATCTGAGCATGTGGCCCACCCAGAGGTGTCTGCTCCAGAGGCTACCCCAGAGCACAGGGGTCTGCTGACCGTGGAAGAGGTGCATGAGGGAGGCCGTGGCTGGGCCTCAATAGAGCCCACCCGGGTGGCGGCCCTTCCTACTGCCAAGGATGAGGGGCCAGCACAGGGGGAGAGAGGCTGCGGTGGGGTTCTTCCCGTTGGCCATCTCTCAACAATGGCGCTCTGCACTTTGGCGGTGCAGGCTTTCTCCACAAGCATCCCATTTTCAGAGCTTCTCCCTTCCTCCCGTCCCCTCAGGATGTCTCCTCGTGGCCAACCGCAGTCTTCTGCCTGGGTCTGCTCTCCAAACCCCACATTCCAGCACCCAGCCCTTGTCTGCAGTGGTGGACACCCTTGCGGTGGACACCCTCTCAGGCTGGGTGGGCAGGACAGGGCTCAGCACGCCATTTGCAGCTCTCACTGTCCTGCTGCCACACGCTGGTTGCCGTGCTCTCTTCCACAGAAAATGAGGCTCTCCTTCTGTCCAAACTGGGCTCCCCCAGTGAGGGGCTCCCCAGGATGTGGACACCTCTTCTCTCTTCAGATCCCCCCAAGCTTACAGGTCCCACCCCAGTTCCTCTTCTCTTTCTTCTCCTCCTTCTTTTTTGGTCCTACCTGGCTCAACAGGAATCTTTCTTGTCCTTTTAGGTGGTGGAGGTTCTTTGCTAGTGTTCAGAGGGGGCTCTGTGAGAATTGTTCCAATTCTGATGTTTTCTTGATGCATTTGTGGAGAGAGATGAACTCCAATCTGCCTAATACTCTGGCATCTTGATCCTTGGGTCCCCATTTCTCTAAATCTTCAAGGATATTCACTGAGAATAATAGATAAGAAAGCTTCTATTTTATATCTTTCAGCTGTGTCTTCTCACAACACCCATGATTTGATGTCAAAGAATCCAAGGTTTGAAAATTTAAACCAAAAAGCAAACCTAGGACTATATGAAAGAGCTCACCTTGGAAATGAACATTTAACCAAAGACTGGAGATATACAAGGGTATGTGACAGACTGAGAGGATGTTTATATGGACATAAAGAAATTGAGACCATTTCATATACTGTGGACATGACTGCCAGAAGAAATGAGCACCGTGAGTCAAATTGGGGAAAGCACCCATTTCAGTCATCACCATCTGCCGCGCAGTGTATCTTTGTAAGCAATGACGTACATCAGTTTTTGAAACACACACATTCTCAGAGGGGAAATGTGGAAAATCTGGAAGGTCATCCAGTCTCTACTCCAAATGCTCATTCAAACCATTCTGAACATAGACTTCGATTACACGTACATTCAACCACTTCTGAAAATGAGAATTTCACAAATGATGGGGAAAACTCACAATATAATCAACTTGAGGGATCTGTGAGGAATGGGTCATTATTCTTCCACCAACAGACAGGTTCTCTCCAATCCAAAATGTGTAATGTTGATAATAATGGAAGAGATTTAATTCAGCCATCACTGTTTGATGCATATCATGATAGGGTTAATATAAAACAACTTTTCATGTGTAATAACACGAGTCAGGCCTTAAGTAGGAGCTCCAACCCCAATAGTTACCAGAGTATTTATGATGGAGCAAGAAACTGTTCATGCAATGACAGTGGATATAACATTGAACAAGACTCTGATCTTAGGAAACATCAGGCACCTCAGTCTTCAGATAAGGACTCGAAAAGTAATGCATGTAGGAATATCTTTTATCAAGCATCAGGTCTTCCACTAAATAAGAGTACACATACTGGAGAGAAGACTTACAATTGTAGTGAGTATGATGTTTCTAATCGGTCTTCAGAACTTATTGAACAGCAGAGTATTCAGAATCCAGAGAAAAACTACAAGTGTAAGAAATGTGAGAAAGTCTTTACTAATGCACTCAACCTATGTAAACATAGGGAAATTCATACAGGATGGAATAGTTTCAAATGTACAGAATGTGACAAAGCGTTTAATCAGAGTTCAAAACTTAGTCAACATCAGCGAATCCATACTGGCCAGAAGTCTTATAAATGTAAGGAATGTGGCGATTGCTTTAGCCAGCACTCAAGTCTTACTCACCATCAGAGAGTCCATACCCGGGAGAAGTCTTTTAAATGTAAGGATTGTGGCAAAGCCTTTAAACAGTGCTCATGTCTTCATAAATATCAGGTAATTCATGCTGGAGAGAAACCTTATAAATGTCAAGAATGTGCAAAAGCTTTCAGTCAATACACAACTCTTACTCAACACCAGCGAATTCATACTGGAGAGAAGCCTTATAAATGTAAGGATTGTGGCAAAGGCTTTATTCAACGCAGAGGTCTTACTTGCCATCAGAGGATTCACACTGGAGAGAAACCTTATAAATGTCAAGAATGTGGAAAAGCTTTCAGTCAACACGCAACTCGTAATAAACACCAGCGAATTCATACTGGAGAGAAGCCTTATAAATGTAAGGATTGTGGCAAAGGCTTTATTCAACGCAGAGGTCTTACTTGCCATCAGAGAATTCACACTGGAGAGAAACCTTATAAATGTCGAGAATGTGGAAAAGCTTTCAGTCAACACGCAACTCGTAATAAACACCAGCGAATTCATACTGGAGAGAAGCCTTATAAATGTAAGGATTGTGGCAAAGACTTTAGCCAGGGCTCAGGCCTTATGTACCATCAGAGAGTTCACACTGGAGAGAAGCCTTATAAATGCAAGGATTGTGGCAAAGGCTTTAGCCGGCACTCAGGTGTTTCTTGCCATCAGAGAATTCACACTGGAGAGAAACCTTATAAATGTCAAAAATGTGGGAAAGCTTTCAGTCAATGCTCTACTCTTAGTCAACACCAGCGAATTCATACTGGAGAGAAGCCTTTTAAATGTAAAGATTGTGGCAAAGACTTTAGGCGCCGCGCAGGTCTTAATCGCCATCAGAGAATTCACACCGGAGAGAAGCCTTATAAATGTAAAGAAGGTGGAAAAGCTTTCAGTCACTATGCAACTCTTACTAAACATGAGTGAATTCATACTGAAGAGGAGCCTTATAAATGTAAGGATTGTGAAAAAGACTTTAACCCAGCATATTGGTCTTACTTACCATCAGATAATTCATACTGAAGGAAATCTCATAAATGTAAGGAAACCTGCAAAGGCTTTACTCAGAGCTCTCACCTCACTGGACATCAAGAGAGCATGTCCTGGAGAGAAACCCTAGTAATGAAGTAAGACATGGAAGAGGTTTGTCCTGAACATACAGTTCAGGAAACCCAAAACTGTTTATATAAGAAAGATATGGAATGACATAAAGAAAATGTAAATAAGTATTTACAAAAAATCAAATCTAAATAATTATCAGGAAATGCATACTAGAATGCATTTCATAAATCCTGTTTTCTGACATTCCTCTTAGGGAGAAATATTGTAGATAGTGATTCATAGTTAAAATAGACAGAAAATTGATATGTTAGTATGGATCACAAGATGAAGAGGTGATGTTTAGCCATGTACAGTTACTAGCTATGTATGTTTGTTTATACTGACATGATTTGTGATTATTTGAAAACCAAAATGAATGTGACTGAATTCTCAAATTACTCCATGCCACACTTCATTTCTAGTGTGCATGCAAAGTTATGTTTTTGATGGTTGCTACCTCAAAGATGAGAGAAGCCCTTCTATCTAGGAAGAAAACATTCATATTTTTCTCCATTATAAGATTAAGGACACAGTAATGTAACATGTGCAGTGAACATCTAAATGGTGGTGTTTGTAATTCATGTCACACATCCCTATAAGTCACCATGATGTAAGTGTTCAGGGAATAATTCCACAGATTAAAGTAAGATGTACATTTTCAATAGTTATGTCACTTGCTTTTAAAGAAAAGTACAATGACAGTTCACTAAAATCTTGATGTATTGTATAATATCAACAGAAGTCATGAATATCAGTTTCCATGTTTCGATTAAAGACATCTCTGCTACCCTAGAAATGTATGGAGAACTCTTCCCAGAAAAGTCATGTAATTCGTGTATGTCTTCTTAAACGATTAGCCTCCCTTTTGTAACCATAGAAATCACAGTTCTCAGATCATTGTATCAGAGGAAAGAATATCATTCTTTATGCTTATAATCTGTCTTTTAACCAAAGTTATGTAAAAGGTTTTAATCTGTCTGTGATAAGCATACATGTTAATCAATAAAACTGAATGGTTTCTTGTGTAACTGTTGGTGTGTAATGAATGAAGTGTTAGCCTAGCAATTTAAGGTTGCAGGAAAGAATACCTAAAAAGAAACTCTTCAGTAACACAGACGGGTGAAGTCTGTAACAATTAGTTTCCTTCCTGCCCTTAAGTTTCAAATCATTTGATCATGTATTTCCCATCATTTCTCCATTGTACTTTTCCCCTCTCTGTAGCTGCAGGGACATGGTGACGGTTCTAATAAGAAGGATCATACAGAGCACTGTTGAGAGCTCCCCTGAACTGCTCCATGCTGTTGCTGCCTCAGCGTCTGTCTGGGGAGCAGGCAGCCTGCAGGTCCTTGAACTCACACCAGCCAGTCCTGTGAGCACCTGCACTAGAAGACCCCCTTCTTTGAGACCAGCAGGCTTGCTGAACCCCAGGGCCTATTCACAGGCTCCCCTTCAATGCCACCCTCACAGAGCCACAAAATCCTAGTCCTTTTGATCTGAATGGACCCGTCCACACTCAGCCTGGGGAGCCCACAGCACTGCACCAAGGGCCCCTTATAAAAACCTGAACCGCACTTACTGCCTCTTTCTCTGCTCACTTCTATCCTTGACCTCACTCAGAGCTTGCTGTGAATTCTCTCAGGACCTAGAGTCATGAACTCACCTGCTTCAGTTGTCCTTTGTTCTTCTCTTGAGCTAAGTAAGACTTTTCATGGGCTCATTTAAGCAAATGTAAATTTAACATTTGTCACAAGAATACTTAAAAGTCATGATGGTAAAATTCTGAACTAAGATTTATAAAATCTAACCCTGTTTCTTGGGATATGTTTTTGTAAGGCTTAAAGGAACTGTTTTCTCATGGCTATGACATACACAATGCCATATATAAATATCTGAAAGTATATATGTTATGTAATTTATATAACATACATTGAACACAATAAATAAATATATGAAGGTATAAACACTAGCAGTGAGAAATACAAGGAACATGTGAGTGTGTGTGTATTAGTACACATTTACTTAGAGAACTGAGGAATGCTAGACCACAACTGCTCATTTCAGAATTGCAGATGATTTACTAAAGACTGCAAATCTTATAAATTTGTCAACTAATCTCTTCTGTCTACTATTCTGGGAATTCATTTCCTTAAATGTCAGGAGGTTAGATTTTTTAAGGAACTTCCACACTGTCCTCACAAGTGACTGCACCCGCTTACATTCCCTCCAGCCATTCAGGAGGTTCCCTGATCTCCAAGCCTCTTCCACGTTTATGATATTATTAGTGGGCTTTTTGCTATTCTGACTGGCATGAGGTAATGCATCATTGTAGTTTTGTTCTGCATTTCTTATTATTTAGCGATGGTGAGCAACTTTCTTTTGCGTCTTGCCCATCAAAAAGAGCAAGTTGTCTCACCCAGCCTCAGCAGCTGTGGGGCACAGGCTTAGTCTCCCCACAGCACGTGGAGTATTTCTGGACCAGGGATGAGTGTCCTGCACTGTCAGGAGGATTCTTAAGCACAGGGTTATCCATCTGTTTGTTTTTCTTTTGAGATGTATATATGTGTAAATTGGAATGTTTTCCTTTACAATGTTTTGTTAGATTCTGCTGGACAACTTCATCAATCAGCCATAGGTATATGTATACCCACTCTCTCTTGAACCTCCCTCCCTCGATCTCCGTCTCACCCCTCTAGCCATCATAGAAGCTAGCTCTCTGTGCTATGGAGCAGCTTCCCACTTGCTACCTATTTTACACACTGCGGTGAATATATGTCAAGGCTCTTCTCTCAGTTAGGCCCCCTCTCATTCTCCCACTGTGTCCACAGGTCTAATCTCTATATTTGTGAAAATATTGTATTAACATATATATATATGGAATCTAGAAAATGTTATTGATGATCCTATATAATGAGCAGGACTAGAGCTGCAGACATAGATATTAAGCTTTTTTATATTAAGCTTTCAAGGCACAAAATACATGGACAATCATTCCATGCGTTTTACTAAGTGAAAGAAGCCCATCTGAAAATGCCAGAAGAAGTCGGATTTTTACACCATAGCATTTTGCTGTAGGTAAATGTTCTTTTGTGCTCCATTGTGTCTGAGGCTTTGGGACCCAATGGACTGTGCCTGCCACGTTCCTCTGTCCGGGAGATTTCTCAGGAAAGAACACTGAGTGGGTAGCCATTTCTTCGTTCAAAGGATCTTGCAGGGGATCCTTACCCAAGGATTGAACCCACATCACTCGGGTCACCTGCATTGGCAGCTAGATTCTTTACCACGGAGCCACCTGAGAATCTAGTTGGAAATGTAGAAGAGATTAAAATGGTTAGTGGTTGCCATGGGTTGCAAAGGAAGAGCTATGAATATGATGAGTTCAGGACCATGAAATCATTATGTGAAACTGTTGTAATGGACTCAAGTTATTATACATTTGCCCAGACCCTAGAGTGAAATCCCCTAGAAGAGAAACATAAGGTGAAACTAGAAACATTATTTCATGTCTTTCTAGATTCATCACTGGTAACAAATGTAAACACTGGTGGGGAAATACGTAGGAAGATTGTCCAGGTATGGGAAATATATATATATGGGAAATCTCTGTACCTTACTCTCAATTCTGCTGTGAAACTACATCATCTAAGATATTGGTACCGGTGCATGTACAGTGATCATTTTTAGAATATATACTATTAGGAAAAAGGATATGCTCCTTTTAGTTTTTCCTTAGTCAATTATCCTTTAAAGATGTGAGAAAATAGGACTCTCCATAAAGAGCAGAGAACAAACTGTAGCAGATGATTCATAAAGCCTAGAAATACAAACATGAAGTAGAGAAGCAACATTTTTCTGTGTTGAAAGTGAAGGTGAAGTCGCTCAGTCCATGTCTGATTCCTTGCAACCCCATGGACTGTAGCCCGCCAGGCTCCTCTGTCCATGGGATTTTCCAGGCAAGAATACTGGAAAGGGTTGCCATTTTCTTCTCCAGGGGAATCTTTCTGGCCCAGGGATCAAACTGGGGTCTCCCTATTGCAGGCAGACTCTCCTGTCTGAGCCACCAGAGAATCTGTTTCATGTGTTAATTTATGGGTAAGTTCACTTATGACTTAACACTGATCCTTATTTCATTAGTTGGTCCCCGGATAGATTTTAGGGCATCATTTTCAAATGCATCTGTCCCTGCACATACACACTGTTAATCCAACGTCCACTGCTGCCCCT